AAATTAACACAACAAATTTGCATGACCCATGAGCTCAAAATAAACGGACTCAGAAACTAGCTCGGCTCATGGCTCATTTTACAACGATTGTTCATGGATTGAGTCGAGCCCCACAAGCCCGTTTGCCACCCCTTGTTAGCAAAAAATGTTAGTAACTTTAACGGTTTTCATCCACCATTGAAGTTTCAGCTCCACTTTGCCCGTTAATTTCCTTTGAGATTGCAACCCAAAACCCTCTCCGCCGCTGTGCCATCACTCTCTCGATTACCGGTGCGATTCTATTTTCTTAAATTGAAACAGCTTTTGTACGGTCGCTTTAACTTTTTGTATAAAATATTTGTAGAAATGTGTAGTGTTTTATTTATTTATGAATGAAATCTTTCGTTGTACTCTTTTCTTAAATTAGTTTAGCTATTAGTCAGTTTATTAAGTTTAACTTTTCTTGATATTTTGCTTTTCTAATTTTCGAACAACAGATTTTTCTGAGCAGTTACAAATTTTGTTGCTTGTGTTGCCTGTATTATCTATAGATGGTATTTCGATTTTATTTTTGTTTCTAACCTATGCTGAATGCATTAATGACTAACAAGACCTGTAGGAAAGGTCATATGCAAGTTACCTAGGATCGTCTACCTCAAGTGATAGTTGTACGGATAATCTACCTGATTAATTGGCCACCCTTGCCTGACTTGAGCGACCAAATCAAGCTGGATATCCTGGACTGACTAAGAGGACCCTAAGCATGATTGAGTAAACCCCTACCTCATGCTCAGACTGGACATAGATATTCGACTAGACTCTTTCCTTATCTAAATCATTTCTCTGACTGAGTCAATCCATTCGATCACCTCTTTCACGGTAGACTCAATTTCGAGAAAACACGAGAAATAGGTTTACTAAAATGAAGAAACACACCATCTGCGTAAGTTGTCTCTACCCTATAAAAGTATGACAAATATAGTGAAAGTATGACAGTATATATTCACAACAGAGAACACACCAAGTGTTTGTGTGCAATAGTGTTCACATAGATGTACAATACATGTGAACAGAGTAAGCAGGCAGTCTTAAGTAACAGAACACAGTGTCAAATAATTCGAAATACAGATCAAGAAAGACTATCTTGAAGAAACCGTTAAACTCTGTCTCCTCAGATTCTAGGGTTCTCGCATGAAACCCTAGACAAAGGTAGATCAGGGTGGGTTTCAACCAAGAAGACTAAATATTACTGATAAATCGAAAGTTAACCAAGATTAGGGTTTAAAAAACTCATTACCAGACTTGTCTCAGTTCAATAGTGTAAAATAGTGAAAACCAAAACTATTTTACTTTCACTAAAATTGAAGATCCAACTCTCCCAGTACAGATTCGTGTAGACCAGTTACACGAATGCCAGAAAATATTCAGATCGAAGGTTTCCAGACTCAGATCGAGATGCTCTGATACCACTGTTGGTATTAACATAGGTCCAATATTACTCAAAACAACAAGAACACAAGATTTTTCGCCCTTAGGCCCGGATGTTCACAAAACTATGGATACTCACCCGTAGAGCATACACCGAAGTGATTATCACTCTAATCCACAAGAANCACAGATAGTAGAACATGCAGGTCACAGAATTCAATTGTAGGAAGACAGTAGTATAAATCGAAATTAAATGTAGGCCACATAGGTGTTCCGGGTCACAGGTTGGAGAACATGCAGAATTCAGAATAAAGGAGACAACTGTAGGAAAACAGAAGTTGCATTGAATTCATGCACGTCACAGATTTCGAATGCAGGAAGCCACAGATTTCAAAAATGTTATTCTCATCACTGCACATCTATTATTGATTGTGCGTTGTTATTTCATCAATTGGAGTCACAAGTTTATGTAAACTATAAAAAATACCGATGGGCAATGGGTAAATCGGTGGCGGCAATGGCAGCGTTTTTTCTCCAATATGTGACCGATTTCTCATTTAATCTGCTGTCAAATTTGGTCCATAATCGGTATCAGTCCGGGGATGAAGCAGAATCAAAGTAAAGAGGCTGATGATTTGTTATATTAGGAAATCTTAACTGTATCAATAAATTAAGGAAAGAATAATATTAGATTTGTATTTAAATATAATTAATTAAATCGACCGAAAACCTAAGTTTTGAAAGATTAAACGTTGAGGCCTGATTCGTGATTTCGTGAAACTAAACACCTGACCCATAAATTTTTCCCAAACATTAATGTACATGGCTTCAAAATTTAATATCTTGAAATATTAATCGTTCAAGTTATTTTATGTACACATGGAATAAAATTTTTATAGTAATTAATTTTAACTTAAGACCACAATCATTCCAAATTTCATACATTTTTTTCTACTACAACGTTTCATTTGAAATAAATTTAAAAAATCTGCAAGATTCTGTCAAATGAAGATATTAATGTTGAACCAATAGTTAGTGAACATTAAGAAATCAATGGATTGTGTGAAGCAATTTTTGGTCTATGCTATAGAAATGTGATGGATGTCGAGCACCTTTTAAATTATTCAAGTGAAAATAATGCAGTGATGAAATCTCATACTAATAAAGATACTATTCAATGGGTACTTAATACTCCTATCAATGATGATCATGATCCAGATGATAATTATATTTTACCAATTGTTTCTTCAAAAGAGGCATTTTAAGCAATCGTAACCTTAAATAATTAATTTGTACAAAAAAAAATATATATGTCAAATGTAGTATATGTTCATTGCAGAAAAATAAGAATGAAATTGAGTTTGGTATGGGTACAAAGAAAAAGCAAAAAACTTCAGATACATATTTTGAAAGAAGTTGAATTGAAGAAAATATTGTCAAATTAAGTTTGTTAATTTGCATAGTATGAACTTTTATGAATTTAAGTATTTTTCAATTTATATATTCATTGGGCTTTAAAGGATGTCAAAAAAAATTATTATCTTATTCATTTAACCGGCTTATTAATTTAGTACACTAACCCAAGTCAGAACCAAATAATTTTATTATTTAAGCAAGATTATTAATTTATCGAACATTCATTTATCGAAGGTTTACTGTATTTAGCAGTGGTAACTTCGATATACATAGGAAATTATGCTAAAGAAAAGAAGGTAAAAATAAAATGATTTCAGCAAAATACATCACGCAATCAGAGAAAATAGTACAAACCAAAGTGAGTCCGGAGAGTCCCTGGACAGGAATAGGTTATGATCTTAGCTGGGTATCACCCGTTCCAAGTTGGCCATACTCATTATTACCCCCATGCCATTAGAGGAGGGCTAAGTTGTAAAAGGCTCCAATTGTAATTGTCCTCACACTATCAAGACCTTGTACTCAAACAGGAGTGGAAATTTGCTCTATGTAAATAAGATAATAAACATTTATATAAGCAAATGTTGCCAGCTACTAGAGACTATAAAATATTAAAAAAGGCAAAAGCTTGCAGGAATACAAATTTAAAAACAACATTCACAAATTTCAGTCCACGGGGACATACATGTCTCCAGGAGGCCATGGTTGACCCCATGTCCATACGTGTCCTTCCCGAGTAAGAATAACTGTGTGCGCGCCACCAGCAACTACCTGTATTGCAAGAAAAATATGGACCTTTACTAAACTCTGGAAGCCAGTCAAGAAATAGATAAATTCAAGGCGATTGAGAGTGATTTGCAGCACAGGAACTTTAGCATTTCATTCCACTTATATACAGCCTAAAAACTATACAAGCAAGATACATACAAAAGGAATATTCTGATTCTTCAACCAACTAATGCCAGGTGGCATAACAACTTATATTCTCAATCCAAAGAACCGGAACCAGTGTGAGGAGTGCAAGCACTAAGAATTTTGTTATGATGCTCATTTGTTAGTGATACAAATTCTCACATTACTCTAACACCTCTTCTCAAGGTGAAGTGTATCTCTAACACTCCAAGCTTGTCTCTAAGGAATAAGAATCTAGAATGTGAGAGTGGTTTGGTGAGTAAGTCTGTTGTCTGATATGATGATGGCACATAATTAATTTCCAATTCACCTCTCAATACTTTATCTCTAACGAAGTGAACATCAAGCTCTATATGCTTGGTTCGTGCATGATAAACTGGATTTGAAGCTGATGCACTTGCTCTTAAGTTATCATACCAAATTTTAGGAACTGACATCCAAGGTACTTCCAATTCTTTAAGCAAGGACTGAATCCATGTAATTTCAGTTGGACAGTGAGCCAGGATCTGCCTCAGTACTTGACCTTGCTACCACTTGTTGCTTCTTTGAACACCAGGATACTAGGTTGTCTCCAAGGTAAACACAGTAGCCTGCATTAGATCTTCTATCGTCTAGACATGATTCCCAGTCAGAGTCTGCGTATGAGATTATATCAAGGCTGTCATTCTTACGAATTGCAAGTCAATAGTTTATTGTTCCCTTCAAATATTTGAATACTCTTTTCAGTGCTTTCCAATGAGCATCTGTGGGTGTTTGAAGGAATTGGCTCATTCTATTGACTGCATTTGTAACATCAAGTCTTGTGTGAGCTAAGTATTGAAGACCTCCAATGGCACTCCTGTACAAACTTGGATCTCTCATAGGTTATCCTTCAGTTTTGGAGACCAATTTCCCAACTGCCATTGGTGTTAAGCTTGGTTTGAGGTTTTCATAACCGAACCTTTTGAGCAAATCAGTAGCATACTTTGTTTGAGTTAGATACAAGCCTGATGTATCACTGTACACCTCCATTCCCAGAAATTAGCTGAGGTTCCCAATATCCTTAAGAACAAAACACACTACAACAAAACTGTGATTTCGCAACAAGATTTTTCGCGACATACAAAAAGTTGTTGCAATAAGTGACTTAACGCGACACAATTTTTTGAGTTTGTCGCGAAGTTTATGATGAGAAAAATAAGTACCAAAAAACTTTTGGCAACATAAAAAGTTGTCGTGAAATGTGAGAAGTTGCGACAAATAATAAAGAATGTCGCAAAATATATGAGGGAAGCAAGGCGTCAAAATATTTTTGGTGGGGAACTTAGGGCGACAAACCTATAATTCTTGCAACAAAATACTTGTGATGCAATAGGGTCTACTTTTCGCGATAAAAAATATTTGTTGCTAAAAATTCGAATTGTGATTTCGCGATAAGATTTTTCACAACATACAAAAAGTTGTTGCAATAAGTGACTTAACGCGGCACATTTTTTTAGTTTGTCGCGAAGTTTGTGATGAGAAAAATAATTACCAAAAAACTTTTGGCGACATAAAAAGTTGTCGTGAAATGTAAGAAGTTGCTACAAATAATAAAGAAAGTCGCCAAAGCCAAAATATTTTTTGGTGGGAAACTTATGGCGACAAACCTTTATTTCTTGCAACAAAATACATGTGTTCGGATTGTTGATAACTTCCTGGAGTTTCTGACTTTTTCTTAGTTATTATGATATCATCAACATAGGCAAGTGCAAACAATTTTTCTTCACCATCTACTGAGAAGAAGAGTGAATTGTGTGCTTGGGATTGCTTGAAGTTCCATTTCATTAAGGAAGTTTTCAGCTTTTCATGCCAGGCTCTTGGAGCCTGTTTCAGTTCATATAAGGCTTTCTCTAGTTTGCATACGAAATCAGGATTCTCCTTATCCACAAAGCCTTGAGGCTAATCCATATATATTATTTCATTCAACTTCCCATTTAGAAAGGCATTGTTTACAGCAATCTACCTGATATGCCAACCTCTTGTAACAGCAAGAGTTAAGATGATTTTTAGAGTTGATTCCTTGATAACTGGACTGAAAGTTTCTCCATAGTCAACCCCTTGTGTTAGAAGAAAACATTGGGCAACTAACCGTGCTTTGTGTCTCTGAACCTTTCCTTTTGTATCATGCTTTAATCTGAACACCCATTTGTTTCCAATTACTTTCATTCCAGCCTTGAGAGGTACCAATGTCCATGTTTCATTTTTCACCAGATCATTGTACTCCTCTTGCATTGCTTTCTTCCAATCATTGCTTTGTAAGGAATCATCAACTGGTAGAGGTTCAGTTTCACCTTGTGCCTGACTTATGTAGACCTTAGGCTTGAAAATTCCTGCCTTACTTCTGGTGATCATATGATGACCAGCAACTTGTGTAACATTTTGATCCTGAATGTTGAGTTCATTACTTACACCTTGAACTCCATATTCCCCTTGATTGATGCCCTCAAACTCTTGATCAATTTGTTCATTTTGGTACAACTTTGATTTTCAGCTTCTCTTATTTCAAACTCCAACTCATGGCTTGGTTCTATATCAGAAGAATCTGCTGCAGGTAGTGCATCTGAGTGAGTTGTATCGGTTATGTTCTTAGGGATTATTCTATGACTAGACTCATTGCTAAAATGAAGAAGACTGATAGTAATTTGGGAATTTTGTGGTTGTGACACTTCTTGTAGGAAGCCTGACTTGAATGGAAAGTCTGACTCATTGAATATCACGTCTTGAAATATAAATTCTACCATTTGGGCTTAAGCATTTATAGCCTTTGTGTGTGTCACCATAACCAAGAAATACATTTCTCTGTGAGTGGAAACTAAACTTGTGTTTTTGGTAAGTTCTAAGGCAAGGATAACATGCACAACCAAAGGTTTTGAGAATCTTATAATCGAACTCTCTTCCATATAGCACTTGAAAAGGTGATTTGTGTTTAAGTGTGGGAGTTGGCGGTCTGTTGATCAAATATGTTGTTGATTTAAACGATTAACACTAGTAGTATAAGGGCATTTTGGCTTGTGCTAACAAGGTTTGTCCGGTTTCAGTGATGTGTTGATGTTCCTCTCTGCTCTGCCCTTTTTGTGCTTATGTGTAGGGACATGAATACCTAAGTTCTATGCCAGATTCAAAGGTGATTTTGTTAAAGGTTCTGAACTCTCCTCCCCAATCAGATTGTAGGGCTTTGATTTTCCTTTCAAACCTGTTTTCTACAAGATTTTTGAATTGAATGAAGATGGTAAGTGCTTCAGATTTGTGTTTCAAGTGATAGATCCATTTGAATCTGCTATGATCATCCACAAAAATTATATAATACTTAAACCCTATGGTAGAATTTAGAGGTGTAGGTCCTCAAACATCAGTGTGAATTAAGTCCAACGATTTTGAAGCATGTGAAGAGGATGTTTTAGAAGGTAATGCATGTGATTTTCCTAATTGATAGGATTCACAAAAGGCTGAAATTTCATTAACTTTGGAAAGTTTATTACAAGACTTCATAACTTGACTCAAAACATGGTTTGAAAGGTGGCTTAGTCTTCTATGCCACACATTGATTTCAACTTAAGTTGCTTAACTGGTTTGGTAAGTTCATCACAACTGGACTTCACTGTGAAACGAGTGGAGTTGTTTTGGATGTTTGACTTTTGGATTGTAAGTTTAGGGCTGGAGCTTCGTAATCTCAGCTGGAATAACCTAGCTTTAAGCACTCCCTACAGCAGGATCTTCTTAGTTTCCAGATCCTTGAAACACAGAAATTAGAATAAAACTCCATGAAAACATTGTTGTCATTTGTAAGTTGAGAATTACTAATTAAGTTCTTCTTAATTGTAGGCACAAGTAGTAGTTTATTTAGAGCAAGAGGCTTGTTATCAAGTGAAGAAATTCCTCCTTTTGCAACATGTGAAATTTCCAAAGAGTTTCCATCACCAATTAAAACTTTCTCTTTACCTTCATATCCATTGGCAATGGACAGGTTCCCTTTATCAGCTGTGACGTTATTGATTGCACCAGTGTCTGCAAACCAGACTGAGTTTTCAAAAAATTGGGGCGAAGCTACAAATGCAGTAGGAGTTGAGCTGATGTTTTGCTGATTTTGATTTACAGGCCTGCTTCCCATGAAACTATCATCATTTCTGTTGAAACACCAAGTTGTTAAGTGATTGTTCAGCCACAAATCTGGCAGGGTCCTCTACTTTCACTTTTCCTATTAGCTCTACCTCTTCCTCTTGTCCTACCTCTAAAGTTCAGTTATCCCTCTAAAGAACCTGCTACCTCCAGAGCCTGTCGTTTGAGTAAGTAGCACACTTGATGGACCAACATTAAGTGAAGCAAAGTTGCTTCTTACTTGATTTAAGTACTCAAGTCTACTTTCAAAGGTCATGAGCACAAAGGATAACTCATGGCATAATATATTTTCACGACTGTTGATCTGCAAAACAATAAGAGTATATTCATCATCTAGTCCCGACAAAACCTGAGTTACCAGATCACCATGATCCACTGGTTTTCTAGCCACATGAAGATTGTCAGCAAGTTGTTTGATGGTAGAAAGGTATTGATCTATAGTCGTAGATCCATTTCTCGTTCTCTACAGTTCACCAGTAAGGAATACAATCCTTGATTTGTTTAGTATACCATAGCTTTCTTCCACAGCATTCCATAGAGTATTTGAACTGGTACAACCCATCACTCTCATTGTTATCTCTGGCATCATGGATGAATATAAACATCCCACAACTGATCAGTTTAAATCCATTTGTTATATTTAGCATTTAGAACTATTTCCATTGCTTCTCTCTACTGATGGTTGTCTGTTTAGCTAGGGATTCTGATGGGCAGTCCTTTGTTCCAAGTAGGTAGCCTTCGAGATTATGTCCTCTGATTATGGGCATAATCATATACTTCCAAAGCAAGAAGTTGTTCCACGGATGGGGTCTAGGTAAGGTTCATCTCAAATGATGAGGCTTGAATCAGTCCACTTTGGATGGATGGTGTGATACTTGGAGTTGACTGGTTTGTTGCATCGGCGCAAGCCATTTTTGGTCTGAAACCAAGTCAAGAAACAAATTAATTCAGGGCAATTGAGAGTGATTTGCAGCACAGGAACTTCAGCATTTCATTCCACTTATATACAGCCTAAAAACTATACAAGCAAGATACATACAAAAGAAATATTCTGATTATTCACCAACTAATATCATGTGGAATAACAACTTATATGCTCGATCCAAAGAACCAGAACCAGTGTGAGGAGTGCAAGCACTAAGAATTCTGTTATGATGCTCATTTGTTAGTTATGCAAATTCTCACATTACTTTAACAAAGCCCAAATGTCGATGCGGGCACATTATAAAGTTAAACTGGGTGTTTAAATGCATCACCAACGACTAAGCTTCTTGGTTGACCATTGGGAGAAGGGAGCTTTAAACGCGTACCTTTTGCAACACATAAAATCAAGCATTCACTTTTCTAATCAATGTGCATCAACCATAATTAGCAGTTTTGTTTAGCACGGAACTTTTACATAATTTTGTTATTTCTTTTTTCACTAAACAAGCCGAGAGGTATGAACTCGAAAAATGCAGATAGTCATTTTAAATGACGCCATATCTTGAGTTGAATCACCTGCCGAACTAATAATTTTGGCACACATCTCTGTGGGATGACAATATCCCTCCTAACAAGTTTATCAGTGTCAGCTTTACACTCAGGTTCTTCACCACACTGCCCATACTCATTTCCACCTGCAACAAAAGAAGAGTTGACATCCTTTAGAAATATAAATAAACATTTCCGCCATTATGTTTGGTAGAATTTGGGTGTAACTCGAATTCCTTGTTGAAATAATTAAAAATTCTAATTGAAGTGCACGTCATGAAGAATTCAAATTTGGAATATTATTGGAGTCATATGTCATGTTGAAGTTCTATTTTGGAAGTTCTTTGGGAGTTAGAATTTGTTTTGGACTCAATTTTATGGTATCCTACTTCATTACCAACTCTACTAGGTAGGTTTGGACATCCCCTACGTATTCGTTATAAATATTAGGCTTTTCTATACAATTTTATAATGTGAGAAAATAGATTACTAGAATTATAAGATCTATTGTAATTTTCTCTCTTCTCCATTATTCTTGAGTCAATAAAATATCTTAATTCTTCTGTTATATTCTTGTATTTATTATTCTTTTACTTGATCAAATACTTCATTATTATTTGCCATACAACTTCAACATCTCAATCTGGTGGTTTATTTCACAACAATTAGTATCTTGATTGTTTTGGAACAATTGTATCAAAGCCAGATTCAACAATTCCGCAAGAGCGCAGTGTTTGATTTGTTCGAGGTTTTTTTATTCGTGATTGCTTCCATGAAGTATGACATTCCGCTTTTGGATCGGAGCACTAGTTTTTCCCTGTAGCGGGTTAAGATACGTACAATCCTCACACAACTGGATTTGAATGATGCGTTGCTGGGAATTGACAAGATGCCCACAACTTTGACCGCAAAAAAGAAATTACGGAAGGATAAGAAGGCAGTTTCTCACATTCATCTACATCTATCAAATACCATTCTTCAGGACGTTTTGAAGGAAAATTCAAAAACTGCTTTATGGTTGAGGTTGGAGCTATTGTACATGACTAAAACTAAGATAAGCAAGTTGAACCTCAAGCAGCGTTTATACTCTCGTCGAATGGCAAATAGAGGATCATTGGAAGATCACCTAGTTGTATTTAAGGAAATCGTTGCTGATTTGGAAACTTTGGAAGTAGAGTATGATGAAGAAGATTTGGCCTTAATCCTATTGTGTTCGTTGCCAGCTTCGTTTTCTTCATTTAGAGACATGATTTCTTATAGTCGTGATACTCTCACCATAGAGGAAGTGTATGATGCTTTGTATTCAAAAGAGAAGATAAAGCAAGGTCTGGTTGCTCATGGTAATTCTGGAAGGTCTAAGTTCAGTAATCAAATTTGTAACTACTACAAGAAGAATTGGAACTTAAAGAAGGATTGCTACAAATTGCACAAATAAAGAAAGGGTGGGTACAAGTAGATATCAAGATACTTCAGGCAAAACAAACCTCATGGAGAACGTTGTAAATGATGGGGAACTCTTAGCTATTTCTGACATTGAGTCTAAATTGGAAGATGATTGGATTATTGATTCAACATTTGTATTTCATATCTGTCCTAATAAGGATTTATTTGCTATATATGAAACTGTTTCCAAATGTGTCGTGATTATGGGAAACAACGCATTTTGTCGGGTTGCTGGAATTGACAAAGTCAAATTGAAGTTTTTGGATGGGACAATTAGAATACTTGGCTAGGTTCGACATGTTCCAGATTTGAAAAAAAATCTCATCTCGTTGTCTATCCTTGATTCAAAAGGTTATGAATTCTTTGGTGGAGGTGGAACTTTGAAGGTTTATAAGGGTGCCGAAGTTGTATTGGAGGGACAGAAAAGATCTCAGTTATACATCTTGCAGGGTCGTACAAAATTTAGAAAAGTCAATCAACACAAGTTCAAGACCGTGGTGGATATTCAATTTGGTACAATACCTTTAGGAGCTCATAAAGGGTCGGATTTGAAGAATACAGTTCAGTGGAGTTCAAATGATATGGATAATGCCGTTTTGTGACTATCACCTGCGGTGCCATTGTATTCAATTGTTAGGGATGGACCCAATGGAAAAGGGTATGTGGATGCTGATTTTGTTAAGTATACTTTAAGTGGAGTAGAAGGTATACAATCCAGTAAGGAGCCTTCTGTAAAAGTATCTGGTATTGATTCTGCTTTGGGGTGTGCTACAGCCCATTTTGGTAAATTATAAAATCATTATGATTTTTTGGAATCTGAGATAATTCTGCAGAGCAATGCTTGGATTCATTGGAAGAGATGGAGTATTTTGTTTTTGGTTGGAGAAATTAATTTTTTTTTGTTATTGTTGAAGAAGTCAGTTCATTACTTGATCGAATTCGTGTCAAGGTGGAGATTGTTAGAATTGGGGTGTGACATGAATTTCTTGTTGAAATAATTGAAAAATTCTAATTGAAGTACACGTCATGAAGAATTCAAATTTGGAATATTATTGGAGTCCTATGTCATGTAGAAGTTCTATTTTGGAAGTCCATTGGGAGTTGGAATTTGTTTTGGACTCAATTTTATAGTATCATATTTCATCAACAACTCTACTAGGTAGATTTGGACATCCTTATTTATTTCCTATAAATGTTAGGTTCTTCTAATGAGAAAATAGATTACTAGAATTATAGGATCTATTGTAATTTTATCTTTTTTCCATTATTCTTGAGTCAATAAAATCTCTTAATTCATCTGTCATATCATTGTCTTTATTATTCTTTTGTTTTATCAAATACTTCATAATTATTTGCCATATAACTTCAACATCTCAATCTGTTAGTTTGTTCCACAACAATGTTCAATTTTGGATAAATTTCTATAATCTAACAAAAATGGGCCATGTTTGAGCCAAATTATTGTAAAATGAAAATGAAAAATATAGCTGTTATTGGGGCCCACATAAGAGATAGAAAATTTGAATTTAAATGTTGATGTGATGGATAACGGTCATATTTTTCATTTTAATGAGATAATAATGTAGATCAAATGGGGGCTAAATGTATGTTTTGACTCAAGAAATCTTTAAATTTAAATGTTGATGTGATGGGTAACTATCATATTTTTCATTTTAATAAGATAATAATGTAGATCAAATGGGGACCAAGTCTCAAAATTTCCATGAAGCTACAAAGATATAAGAGTCTTGAATAGTCATTATATTTGATTATAATTTCATTTTTTTACCATTTTTTCCTCAATAAGACAAATGAAAAAAGGTTCTCTGAACAAAGATAACATATCCCAAGCATAATGCCACCCACCAATTGCAACCTGAAATCAAAATCCCCAACTTAGCGGCCAATTTTGTCGCTATATAATTTTTTTAATCACAAATACACTGGAAAAAATATGAATAGCTGAACAATTCTCACATTAGCAAGCGCCTTCACTTGACTAGGAATATTCTCAGTTTTCATTTGCGGCGGGTGCCCCAATGTCCCTCTTTGATTCCAACCCCAAGTAAACAACTAATTTTCACGAATAAACAATTGAAAATCAACAAAACCCACGACAAGAATTTCACTAATTCACTAACGAATAAAACCAACAAATACAATTACCAATTCTAATGACTCAAACCACCTAAAATGCACTCAAAATAGATTTAGGAGAAACCTTGCCGCCTTCACAAATGGCAAGAGAGTTGCGGCTACCAGCGACGACGGAGCTAAACTCATTTGAAGAAAGAGATGTAATTGTGCGAACCCATTCTTTCTCTTCATTGCTTCCTATTCCTAACTGCCCATCTTCACCAGAACCCTGAACAAGAAAACAACAGAGATAAAAACAACTTGATTAATAGCATGTGTGTCAATGTGTGCTGAGATGGGAGTGGCTTGGAAGGAGACCATGCTATAACAGCTAGTGGTTTTCGAAGCCATTGATGCAGCAGGTATACTGAGTATTTAGCAACCTGAAGTAGAAACATAAGAATTTTTTCCCGTTTTGTCAACGGACCAAGAGTGCCTATCCGATTCAAAATTGCACTTATATATTCAACTTTGAAGTAGAACTCATGCCTCTTAAGCTACTTATATATTCAGCTTTAATCATGCTATTTGTACAATTTTTTTTTTTTTTTTAAATAATCTTTGTTAACAATTCATGTTTGGAAACATCACATTTCAAAAACTATTTTTAAAGTTGATGGTCTGAATTTTGACAACACCAATACTGTCGATCATAATTATCAACAAGGATTGTATAGCAAAGTTAATTCTTAAAATTGTGATTCCTGTTCAAGGTTGCTGAAAACTTTTATTTAAATAGTTAATGGCCACATGACACTTACTTGATAACGTTGATGAGTTGAAGTAAAAATATATTTCATGAACGTTGAAGATTCTACCTATTCAAATCTTTGAATAACGTAAAATTAAAATTTTATGACTTTCTGATAAGTGCGTTTTTACATACTTATTTTACTATCAAAACATGAGAAATTATTGATTAATATGTTGGAATATAGCTTAATTCTATGCAATTTATGTTTTGTATGACAAAGTGATGAATGTAGCAGAAATATGGAAAAACAAGTAAAAAATGATCAAAAATGAGGAAAACGAAAGTTTAAAGACTAAGTTGAAAATATCCAAAAGTTGGTTCGGAAGGAAAAAAAGAAAGAAATGAAGATTTGAGAGTGTTAGAAATCATTTGTATGAAGAAAGAAGCTAAATGATGAAATATAATCAAAGAACTATCACAGATGAATTTTCGAGCTGAAAAATTTTGCACCGATTTTCAGTCTCATATTGAGACCATATTTTGACATATAAAATGATCGAATTCGAAGATGAAATCTGAAGAAAAGTTGTATCACTTTGAGTTAGTTTTCCAACGCATCTTGAATCGCCTCAATCGGATATCGGGAGATAAAATTATGATGAAATACTGAAGGCTGTGGCCGCCCGACCCTAAACTTCAAATACAGAAGCCAAATTTTATGCCTGGGCGGTCGCCCCATTTTCTACTGGGCGCTCACCCAGGCCAAATCGGGAAAAAAATTTCAGTTTCCTTGTTTGATTCAACAACTTGTGGTAACTTATTTTGGCACGACTTCTCAATCCTAAAACACCCCAGAACAGCCCAGAACGATATATTCTTCATTCTACACCATTCTTTCCACATTTTTGACATCAAGAACTCCATGGAAAGTTTAAAACATTGGTAAAGCAATGGAGGAACTCAATGGGAATTGGTTATTTCGATATCTTTCATTCGTGTAATGAGTTTTTCATTGTCTAAATAGTTTTAGGGTTTATGTTTCTCGTATTTTGAATTAGATTTGAGTTAGATTTAACATTTATTCAGATTTTCATAGATTTAATCACGTTTCATCCATTGAATAATTAAAATACTTGTTTAAGTTTAACTTTCAAATCATTTATTGGTGTGATTTAATTACTGCTGTATGTTAGAGATATATAGTCGTTTTTTGAATTTGATTTCAATAAATTGATGTATGATTGTGATTTGGGAATCATAAATTCTAGGATTACATGTGAAATTTAATTGGTTTGTATTGTTAAATCATCTGATTAGAGAGTTAGGATAAAAACTTCTAATTGAGTAGAGAACGTTTGAATGATTGATGCTGATTGATCCAATCTAGTTAAGAGAATCCCGACGCTTCACTAATTTACATATTATCTTAATTCTCTTCATTTTTTTCGATGATTTACTACATTTTATACAATAAATAAATTTCATTCATCAAATTTACGAGAACCCTAAATTTTTGAACCCCTTGAGTCACTTTCGCTTGAGACAGTCCTCAAACCCGCATATTTTCGGATGCTTCAAGTCATTCGTTAAAATCTGGTTTATTTTGAAATGAAGGAAAAATTCAATAATTTTGCCATTTTAATCCCACATCACGTTAGTGTCATATGATCATTAATGTTCAAATTAATGTTAGATGATAAATAGTAGGTTGGAATTTACCTACTATAAATAGAGAAATTATGGCCATGGGAGGTGTTTTTATAATGTGTGGGCCCGTTGAGGATGTGTGGAATGATGTGATTCGTGTTGGAAATATTTTGCACTTGGAATGTTGTTCACAACTTTTGTCACATCGAGTACTCCACCTGTCTTAGATTGTCATTTCTATTGTTCTGCAATAATTATACTTTTCTCTTTTATTTTTCCTTCCTCACTTCTTTTGTAATATCAGTACAATAATTATACCTTGGATTATTCACCCTTGAACAAGCGAATTTTATATTGGGATATATAGGTGTTACGTTGAGAGCACGTGTAATTGTATAAACTAAAAATTGTTTGTACACGTAGAACGATCTTATACTTTTGCTCTTCTATTTTTCCTCTTTAAAAATTTATTATAAATTAATTTAATTATTTTTAAACTTGATCGATGCATTCACCTTGGAATTTCCAATTTTCGCACATTAAATTATTTAATGTAAAACCTACAAGGTAAAATTTGCAAGCTCGAGGAGAAAATGATTAAATATAATTATTATTTCATCCATCATAATTTAAGCCTTGTTTAGGCTCCATTAAAATCAAATTATATATATATAATGATTTAGAAAAAAGGAAAAATTGAATACACGTTTAATATTATTTTATTAAAGAATGTCATTAAAAACAATTGAGAAAAATGCATTAATTAAAATGGAACCCAAACACGGACTAAAATGTCAAACACATTTCAAAATCACCCACCAATGAAAAACTATATCTTTAGCTCAATATAACTTAATGTAGAAAGTAATAAATAAAATAAAAACAAATACGTATGCTTTCAATGAGGACTAATTTACGACAACCCTAAAAATTCAGGTACGGTATTGTTGAAAAAATTAGGTTGGAGACAAATTTGCTATAAAAGAACGGTTGGACGTACCAGAAGCACAATTATCCACATCAATTAAAAACAAACACATCATGAGATTTCACACATTCCCTTGTCCAACACACATTTATCAACCAAGTCTTGCTTGCTATCATACCACGATTTCATAATAACGCATTCAAGTCTTGCTTGCTTCTACGAAAGGAATTCTATGCTAAAACTACAACATGAAGAGCACAATGCTACGCTACAAATTCATCAATGCTGATTCTCGCCCGAGTCATGTTTTGAAGATTCCTTGATCTCGTCCCCGGCATCGTCCTGCAATCAAAACAATGAAGAATCAATATTTAGTATTTACACTTGCCATGGCAAGTTCATATAGGCCTTCAGTTATCAAGGCCTTGATGATGTAGACCTGAATTTATGGCCTGTTTGGGATAAGTTCTACTTCTACTTCTACTCTTTTAGAAGAGCTTCCTAAAGAAGCTACCTTGGCTAATTTCTTCTAAAATCTCTTCTATTCCGATGAAGTTCTTTTAGAAAATTATCCAAACAAGCACAAAAGTAGCTTATTCTCAAAAGTAACTTTTAGCATTTTTTAAAACCCGTGCCACAGACCCTAGTTCATCACTCCATGTTCAGGAGGGGTTAAAAACATGTGAATAAATGAACTCTCTCCTAGAGAGATGAACAGACAAAAACAATTCTGCCAAAAGAGCCGTGGACCTTTTATAAGAACTTTATTTTCTGGCCTACTATTTATTGAAGAATTCAACCTATGCCATGTCTATAACCTGAACGTTGAGCTTTAGATGAGATGCAATAAACCCATCACACTAAATTCTCTAGCTTATGCCTAAACTGACAATCGGAGCATCACAATAAAGTTGAAAACGAAGTATGAAAACGAGGGAGTTCCACTATAGGCAGGAGAGATACCGCTGCATCGGAAGTCCAAAGAGTCAGATTGTCTCGGAGAAGTTGCATGATCAATGTACTGTCCTTGTATGATTCCTCGCCCAACGTATCTAGCTCAGATATGGCTTCATCAAAAGCCTGAAAAAAGAGTACAAGCATCACATATACACAGTTAAACAGGCTGGTAATGCATATGAGAATTGCAGGATGAAATTGGCAGAAAAGAACGGACAACAATATTGCTAAAATAATAAGTGGGAAAGGGTGGGAAAACAGAAATAAGAGGGGAGAAAACCTATCAACAGTCTGATATATAAGTCATGTTATTTTCATGCTAAATGGTATTAGAGTTGTTAGAATGAAAGCCTTGACTCTCAAATGGTCTCTCTTGGTCTATAGGTTTTCAAACCTCAGCAATCAACACATGTTTTGATTATCAAACACCGCCTCTTCGCAATCAGAATTTCCGATTTTGACTCCATGCATACAGTACTCATAAACAAAAAAAAACCTCATTCATGATGCTTCCTGAATTAACTGCTTTTCCCATACTCCCTCTTCAAAAGGTTCGCTCACTTTATCTTTCCTACTCCACCTTGATAACAAGTGCTGTTGCTTAGTTATGAGCCCTTTGCCTCTTTAAGTCCTCAAATTTCAGATAGCCTATAATGGGGCTAAATTTAAGCAACAGGATTTAGTGACGTCATGAATTTAAGATGAAGCTTACTTAAATTCAGTGCTTAGTACATTAGTCAGTATTTAGAAGAAAAGCATAAAATCCTGGACTAAGCCTAGAAGTGTCAATCAGCATGTTCATTAGCTAAATCAACTTTCAATAAACAATTTTACATGTAAGTTAACTTCTTCCTCAAACTGCCAGGAACAAGATCTAATCATATCATTTCGCATTTCTTTTCACTTAACACAATCAGAGATAATATTTTGAACACCTCTTATGCAATAGTGCTTTCAAAAGTATACTCATTGATGCGAGCATTAGGTAAGCCGATAATCAGAAGCGAGAAAGCTTACAATTTGAGTGCCTTTTGTTAATGCTTACACATTAAAATACTGAGGCACACAGCGCAGGGCACTGGCTCATGCTTATGACTCAAGCCCATGGTTTATAAAATCCAATTGAGAAACAAATTTCATTAAACCATTTTGGGAATAACCTACTGCTAAATAAAGCATTAAAAAATTGTGTTTCTCATAAACCAAGTTGGAAATACACATCAACTAAAATAAAAGTTTTTATTTGTTACTTTATTGAAATTTTTTTCGCACACTTTTAACGGTTTTATTATGAATTTTTTGAATATTATTTATGATTTATTATGAGCTTATTTAGTATCTTAATATTTTTTTGATATTTTCTTGGTTTACGATGAGGCTTAAGCCTCGCCTAGCGTTGGAAAAATGCCTCAGTACTTGACTATGTCTTTTTAAACATTGCCCGAGGCATTTGTTCCTTACTCTTGCTCTTTCTGTCTTTGTTTTTTTTATTTTACCTACCTCAGCTTGTTCAGATGGTTTGCTTCATACCCTGAAATTTATAAGGGTTTTAGCTTATTTTAAATGCAACTAAACCAAAAGTAAACATAAAACAACTAGAGATTGGTAAAAAGCCGTGATCACGCTAGCCCAAACTCCTAAACTAAAGTGAATCCCTTTCAAAGCGACATTGCAACTCTTAGGCAGCACGCGACTGGTGACACGAGACCTGTGATTAGGAAGTTCACTCTTCTCTTTCTTTAAAATTTTTCATGTTTTTTATGTGTTTTGTCTTCTTTCTTGGTTTCTCTTTCATATTATAGCCAGAGAGAAAAATAGTTTCAAATAGTTTTTTCTTATACAGTCGGTTCTAATTGTGAATTAGAGGACGTGTTAAGTGATTACTGATTACTATGTTAATTAATCATGAGGAAATTGGACAAATTTCCACTTCTGCTTCATCAATCCATTTTATATTTCTTGTTGCAATTTGCACTTCTAGTTTAATCGAAATGTTATATTTTATAATGTAACTATAGATGACTTACTGTTTATTTTGAGTATATTTTTATATTTTTTGAGTTACATAATTGGCTCAATTGAGGTTTAAGCTTCAAAGATCCTAAAGGCATCTTTCGTTTCAAGGAGGCAAAATGCCATACCAATTTAGGTCTTTCTGAACATTGCAAAGTGTTAAAAATTCAATGCCTCGTAATCAGTACAAAATGGCAGATTTAATTCAGAGATAAATTGTAACTCATTGTAGTCAAAAGGATATAAAGAAGTGGTTGGCTAATAAAACAGCAATATATGAACATTCTTGAACTACCTGCTTGGCAAGGTTGCAAGCGCGATCGGGTGAGCTGAGGATTTCGTAATAGAAAACAGAGAAGTTAAGTGCAAGCCCAAGCCTGATCGGGTGTGTGGGAGCCAATTCAGCTAATGCAATATCCTGCACAATACAAGGCCAAAAAGATTAGAAAACTCATCATGAATAAATCTCTGAGAAATTAAACCACCAACTCAAATTGATAACTTACATGAGCAGACTTGTAAGCTGACAAAGTACTCTCGGCAGCTTCAGTCCTCTCAGCTCCAGTCTTAAACTCTGCCAAATACCGATGGTAATCACCCTTCATCTTCAAATAAAACACCTTGGACTCTGCAGTGGAGGCTGAGGTAATGAGATGGGAATCTAGGAGGCTCAAAATCCCACCACTGATCTTGCTAAGTTCAGCCTCAATCTTAGCCCTGTATTCCTTAATAACCTTGACATGATCCTCATTCCCACGGCTCTCTTCCTTCTGCTCAATGGATGAGATGATTCTCCACGAAGCCCTTCTAGCACCAATCACATTCTTGTAGGCAACAGACAGGAGATTTCGTTCCTCCAGAGTCAGCTCCTCAGTCTCAGCGCTCTTTGTGACCTTCTCCATAAATTCAACCATCTCCTCATACCGCTCAGCCTGTTCAGCTAGCTTGGCCATGTACACATTTTCCTCGCGTGACATGTTCTTTATGAGCTAAATATATTAAATCAGCACAGATTTAAAATAACCCAACATTACGAGCAAAATATTAATGTATATGTGCTTCTTGGACGAGATGCATATTGATTTCATATAGTCAAAAACTGAATCAACTATGAAACACTCTTGACTAAAACCAGTAGCTTAATAATCAACTAACCAAAAAATGTCAAATTTTCAGTCAAAAGGACTATATAGCTGAATTAATGTTCTTCAGTGTTTACATAAAATAAAATAAATCAGATATCTGGTGATTGGAAGCAACGGATTTCATGTGTATAACTCAAACATGGGTCTGAGGGGAAAAATGTAAATTGCTTCCACCAAAGGAACAGTTCAGTTACTCGCATTTTCACCTAAAAGAAATAAAGCGCCATTTTTACTTGAAAAGAACAACTGCAGCATAGTGTGGAGAAGTGCCATGCGGACTTGGTTACAACTGATTAAAATCTGTATAAAAGGATTGAAGCAGTTGGGTTGCCTAATTTTCTCTTTTCAGATACACAAAAAGGAAACTCTACTCATCTATTCCTCAGGTGTGAGTATTGAGAGCTAAATTGAGGGAAAATGGTGTTAGTTTTGAAACTGTGTACTTCGGGCTTTCAAATCTTTCCTCCATCTTGAGGTTTTTTCTACAATTTCTTTCTAGAGTTAGCCATGAAGATACCAAAAAGAAATCCCATTACAGTGCTGAACCATGTTAAAACTTCTGTGCTTGTGCTTGATTATTTTCTTTTAAGCTATAGGTGAAATTACTCAGTTATCAACAACGACGACAAGAAATATTTCCAGTATGACCAGTAAAAATAGCTCGCTTAAATTAAAAATCCATCCAACCAATTTCAAAAGAATTTTATCCCCTTTTCATTCAATCATTCCCTTTCTACAGTATTATTGCAGTTAAATGAAATAGATTACACTCTTTATTTTCTAATTCCTTATTTCATCGACGCAAAACTTCAGCAGCCAGAATATTCGAATCAGGAAAACAGATCAAATGAATTTCAGATCCACAAAGAAAGCTAAAACTCAAAGATCTAACATTAACCCTAGCCCTAACCCTAATATAGCAAGCAGAGCAAACAAAAATTAAACTGAGAGTAAAATATACCAGTCGACTGTTGTTGATACAGAAATGTGTAATTTTCCTAATGCTTTTAGGGGCCTGTGGAGGGTTTATATTATACATTTAGCGTCGGGAAGATGACGTTATAGCCAATTGGGACGCGACAGGTGGCGGACAGTGGCGGAGTTTACCCTAAGCCACATAGGCAGCGAAACGTAATCATTGACCAGTCAAAGCCCGAATAGGCGTAGCGGGCTTACAAAACGGTCACGTAACTATGGGCAGAGTCCGCGTGTCTTAATTCACTTTCCCTTTGGTCCACTGATAGAGTTACGTTTTTGAATAATGATAAGAGATTTTTTTTCATTAAAAGTAATTTTTCTGAAAAATATTTTATTAAAAAGTAAAATATATATATAACTTTCGTATAAAATTGTTTTATTTAAAACATAGTTGAAAATAAATTTAAAATGAAATCAAACAAGAGATTTTTAATAAATATTATTGAAAAAATAATGTAATTTAAATAGTGATAAAATGAAAAATATGTGATTAAAAAATAAATAAAATTTATTAAAATAATAGAAAATATTGTATTAAAATATGTATGATTGAAAATGAATTTTGAAAGAATGTATTTCAAACAAAGACTCAATTTATAAACCATCCACTCCCACTCAAATTATGCCCTATTTGATAACCATTAAAATAAAATCATCTTTTTTTCTCAAAACTTATTTTAAACACATTTTCCTAATAAAATATTTTACACATAACCCTGAAAAACTTTCTATTTTTTAACCACTCCAAAAAATCATTATTCTAAAACTCATTTTCCTCTCGAGGGAGAAAAAAAAAATTCTCATTTTAATAAATATCTAACGGGCTACATCACAAACCCAAAACCACTCAAGTCACGACACCAGAGGCAATTTCCGCTTTAGTACAGTCCCGCTTCCAAAGTAGTACAATAATAAAATCCCGTTTCCAAACAGGGTCGATCATACAATCTTGCTTCCACGTTAGTGGATTACCCTAATTCAACTAGGAATCCACGGAATAATAGTTACCATTCTTCGGATAACTCAGGACGGACATCCTAGTAGAACAAAGAGTTCAAAAGTACAGTAACTCGGTGAGAAACAGACCTCTCAAACTGAAGCCAACATCTAAAACAAATATGAACAAAAACCAGTACACTCGTGTAAAAAGCAACAGTGATTGATAAACATCTAACTGCAGTTCTGTGGACAAAATTCAAATATCTTTACACTGAAGCTTGGGCAAAAAAATTTAACACGACCCTCCAACCAATCAACGGAATTACAACCGTCTGTTGAACATCGCAGATCAGGGAGGAAAACATTCATCAAACACAAGTACAAAAGAAAGTTTATGAGTTAATTTGGCTTCCGCATATTACGCCCAGCACGGATAACTTCATCCACTAATAGCAGCTGCGAAGAAATTACAGGGCTGCAAACAAAGAAAGGTCTCTTTAGAACATAAAGAAAGAGAAGTCATGACTATTAAAACATAACCTCTCTCCAGCACAGATGATTATTAATATCTTCCTGGTTCAACAACCCCCCCCCCCCCCCCCCCCCCCCCCCCCCCCCCCCCCCCCCC